ACATGGCCAACGTGAGCATTGCCACTGCTCTGGGATCGGTTAGGCTCGGAAAAAAGGTGTCTAAAAGGGGTAAATATGCAAAAGGAAGAGATTAATCTCAGTTTGGGAATTGACATTATCAACTCTGAGATTTCAGAGCTGAGCAGCACCGTGAAATGCTTAACTCAGATTAAGATTTCTATTCAAATAAGAACATAAACTCTTGTTTAGTTCTTTATATTCCAACCTATAAAGGCCTGAAAGAACAGTTGTAGCCTCTGAAATGCCCTGTGATTTTTACATGGGAGAACTTATTTTAGTTTCCATCACAAAGGAAAATGGTAATATACTGTCCCTGCCTCTGTCCCTGCCTCAAATTTAACCGTACACAGGAGAGGCTTGGAAGATGCTTTCTGCAGACCAGAACTTGGGAATTCTGTCTAGTGTTAGATTTCCTTCCTGCCACCTGCTCTCATTACAAAATGAGAGTTTGCAAAACACTGTTTTTCCAAGGGAAGAATTGGAGTTGAATTCCATTAAACGAAGTGCCTTGTTTGTGAAGATTAGGAGAGATGCCAGGAGATGACAAGCACCTATCAGCAACGGCCCATAATTTATTACCAGTGCTAGTAATATGCATAAATGTCTCTTCCTTCAGCTAGTGCATCTTCAGGCCAGTGAGGGAAATCCAGCATCAGCCTTTTTCATGGGAGCAGCAGAGTTCAGAGTGCAGTAAATCAATGGTACAGACTTATAGTCACATTTTTCCCCACCATCAAAATATTTAGCTATAATGTATTTAGCAGCCTTTTTCCAAAACAGGATTGTGTGGTTTTTATAAAAGTGACTTTTATTTGGATCCTCCAAACTTACTAATCCACAACATAGAACACGGTAGAGTTGAAGCTATAGATGATAGTGAAATCAGTGTTCTTTTACTACTATTATCCTTCTGAAGATGACTGTTTTCTCTCCCCCTCTCTTCTTTCTAACAGAGGATGAACAGAGAGAGAAATCTGTCTCCCATCACACTGTCCAGCAGCTGATAGTGGAGAAGGAACAAGCGTTGGCAGATCTGAACTCAGTGGAGAAATCCCTGGCAGATCTTTTCAGGAGATACGAGAAAATGAAAGAAGTATTGGAGGGGTTTCGGAAGGTGAGTCCTGTTAAAGTCCCCTCCTTCAATGAGCAACATGGAGCAGGGTCCTGCGTGTACCAGTTCTGCTTAACAGAAGGCAGGACTTTGTTTCCAGTTGAATCTGATGCACATTAGAAGGCATTGTGCTGCGGAAGGGAGAACGTGACTGCTCATTTGTGTTTTCCCTTTGGATCAGCTTTAGAAATAGAGATTTTCCACAGGAGCAACTTGCTTCCATCTGTGACATTGTGATTGCAGTAGGTGACGCATAATCTGGAGAGGGGCTTTTGACAAGGGTACATAGGGACAGGCCAAGGGGAATGGCTTTAACCTGCCCGAGGGGAGACTGAGATGAGCTCTTAGGCAGAAGCTCTTCCCTGTGAGGGTGCTGAGGCGCTGGCACAGGGTGCCCAGAGAAGCTGTGGCTGCCCCATCCCTGGCAGTGTTCAAGGCCAGGTTGGACACAGGGGCTTGGAGCAAGCTGCTCTAGTGGAAGGGGTCCCTGTCTGTGGCAGGGGTTGGAGCTGGAGGAGCTTTAAGGTCCTTTCAAACCCAAATCAGTCTGGGATTCTATGACTTGAGCCCATGTCAGGGCTGGCTTCTGGTCTGAGCATTCTGTTCAAACCTCAGATGTGAATTCCTCAGGCAGAGGTTATGTCTAAAGTGTGTGATATAACATTATCCTCCGATGAAGGACTGCAGCCATGTATCAATGCAAACAGAGTTGTAAAGCTTTTTGGCTGTGTAATAGTGCATCAGAGAGATGTTCCATGGTGGGTGTCAGTGTTAGACTGCAGCCCTTAAAATATCTGAGTGTAACTCCCGCAGGTAGGTGCCTGTCCTCCACTTCAGCCTCTTGTCTTACATTACATTGAATGTAATCTTCTCATTTTAGAATGAAGAAGTGTTAAAGAAATGTGCGCAGGAGTATTTGTCACGAGTAAAGAAGGAAGAGCAGAGGTATCAAGCACTCAAAATTCACGCAGAGGAAAAACTGGACAGGTAAGGAACTGTACACATCTCTCTTCTGGAGTTCATGCTGCAGGAGTATTCTTGCGGCTGGACCTTGCATCCCAAACCTGCTCCTTCAGTACACAGAGCACAGGCTGCTATGGGATGAAGGGTGGAATGAAACACCATAATGAGGATTCCTGTGATGTGCTGGTGTTTCTAGCTGCTCCTCATCATACAGAGCACCTTAAATTTCTATCTTTATCAAATGTCTTCATGTTTCTTTAACTTATTTATATAGGGACTGTAGTGATAGGACAGGGGTAATGGGTTCAAACTTAAACAGGGGAAGTTTAGATTGGATATAAGGAAGAAGTTCTTTACTGTAAGGGTGGTGAGGCACTGGAATGGGTTGCCCAGGGAGGTTGTGAATGCTCCATCTCTGGCGGTGTTCAAGGCCAGGTTGGACAGAGCCTTGGGTGCCATGGTTTAGTGTGAGGTGTCCCTGCCCATGGCAGGGGGGTTGGAACTGGATGATCTTAAGGTTCTTTCCAACCCTAACTATTCTATGATTCCATTTTCCAGGGAAGATGGAGATGGAACCCATTAGCTAGGTTTCTGCAGCTGTGAAGGGCTGTGCTCAGATGCTCGCACCTGCAGCCCGTATTCCTGCCCCCAGAGATTTGCTATTGCCCCTGTGCTGTATTAGTGCCCCTGCATCAATCAGCAGAACAGAACATGTAAGTGCACCTCAGCCCTTTCAGTGCAGAATTAGTCTCTACCCAGTAACATCAGTTATCTGAGCTGGATCAGCCTGACTTGGGCAGAGGGTGATGAGGAATAATCACGCAGAGAGAGAGAATAGTGCCAGAAAGAGGCAGCTCTGGTTGATCTCTATCTATAGGCTTCCATGTAATGGCCAGTTAAGCATTTATAGGAATTCCATACAGTCCCCTAGACCCAAAAGATGCTTCCAAAATGTCACTAGGATTGATCGGTGCCTAAAACAAAGTAAAACTTGGTTTTGCTTTCCAGCTGTTGTCCCAGTCTAGTCTAGCAGGTCTAGTCCAGTCTAGACTAGTCTAGAATTAGACTAGCGAGTCTAGTTCTAGTAATCATGTTTAGAAGCTGCCATAAAATACTTCTACTTAAGTGATATTTGTCACCTGAACACAGACATCTGAAATAAGGCTGAAGGGAATGACACACACATTAAGAAAAGCCATGAAAAGCCTCTAGGGACAAGTCTCTCAATACTTTCAAAGACATGCATCTGTTAAGACGTGGTCCATCCTTTGGTACCTCCTCTCCTTCCTTGTAGAGAGCCTGACATGACACAAACCTCTGTTTTTTCTAGAGCCAATGCTGAAATTGCACAAGTGAGAGGCAAGGCTCAGCAAGAGCAGGCAGCGTACCAGGCCAGCCTTCGTAAAGAGCAGCTCAAAGTGGACGCATTGGAAAGAACACTGGAACAAAAGGTAAGCAGCCATTCAGCTCTTTTAATACAGAAGTCAATGGGATGTAATTAAGTGTAATTCACTTAATTTTGTGATTAAGTAAACACCGTAATTTCAGTGCTGACTTATGTGCCTCCACTGTTAACACAGACAAAATGGTCAGATACATAGATCTGTACAGCTTAAGGCAAAAAAGGGTATAGGAAATCCCTGTTTATATCTCCTGTTCTCTGGCACAGCAAAGGAGCTTGCTTTCAGTACGGTACAGCTTGTACTTGCTTAGAGCCCTTGGAAAACAGGGTGAAAGTAATGCTGTAGAAGTGCAACCTAGAGACACATTTACACTATGTATTATTATCATGAGCTAGGAGTGACTTCTATAAAGCTGTCTGCTCTAGAGCTAAGTTGTTATTGAAGTCAGAGGAGCTGTATGTGGAAATAAGGTAATAATAGTATTTAAATGAAGTATAGGCATCTGTACTACATATGCATATATATATCTCTATATGTATAGATCTATACATATGTATGCTTATATGCATAGATATTCTGTACTGAATATCTATAAGATAATCAATACAGAATATCTGTACATGTAGAGAAGCATATATATATATGCACACATAATGTGTTTATATGTGCATGTGTATACACACACATATGTAGAGATATTCAGTACTGGAGAAAACTTCATTGTCCCAACTTTTCCCAAAGTTTGGATAATTAAAACAAAACCTAATCTTAATGCAACGATATTTTTCATAACACTTACTAATGCCTTTTGTTTTCCAGAATAAAGAGATAGAAGAATTAACAAAGATTTGTGATGAACTGATTGCCAAAATGGGGAAAAGCTAACTTCTAACCAAATTTCTGGACTTCAATATTGAGTGCAATATGACCATTGGCACACTGATGTCCATACATTTATGTGGACAGGTTCTATTTTCACTTTTTCGTATGCACTACTGTATTTTCTTTCTAAATAAAGTTGATTTAATTGTATGCAGTACTCAGATGACTATCAGAATTTCTTGCTATTGTTTGCATTTTCATAGTATAATTCATAGCAAGTTGATCTCAAAGTTCCTGTATCAGGGAGATTGTCAAGTTCTCTAATTACAAATTGCTGATCCTAGCCTTCCCTTTGTACATGAGTTCCCATGTTGGATGTCTTTTGGATTTAATATAAACATGTATTACTTGCATGGGGACTCTTGCCTTAAGGAGCATAAACTTTATCTGCATTTGCTGATTTGTAAAATAAAATGAAAAATGGAAGAAAAAAAAAGGAAATGCATGTCACTGAAATGAAATTCTCTATTGTAAATAAATTTTTTCGTTGAAAGTTGAAGATGAGAATGGTTCTGGTTTATGGACTTCAATTGGTTACTTCTGGTGCAGCTCTTACTAATGAATTCCTTTGCAGAAAGCACCTTGGGGGTCTCTCGCTACTTGGAACACTCCGTGGGGCATGAGGATATACCACTTATGTGCACATATCTGTGCCTATATCTTGCTGTCTCTATAAATGTATATATGTATGCACTAGATTTGGACCACTCAGGTCTCAAGCACAGGCTTAATCCTCCAAAATGTTTAATGCTCTGACCTTGATCCAGCAAATCCCATAGGGAGATGTGACGAGGCTCTTTGCACAAGTCAAAGGCAGTGACACGTGGTGGTGGAACAGTGGTTTTTAAGCACATCAGTCACTGAAAGGTGGATGCATTTTCTTCTTCCTGCCCCTGGAAGCACTTGCCTGCTGGGTTTGTGGAGATGAAGTACGTGTGCTTAGCAGTACAACCAGAATAAGCTCGATAAGTAGCATTCTTGGACACCTCTTTATCCTGTAAGTTATCCTCTGCAGAGGATTAGGTATGTAAGAGAAGCATTAAGGCTTTAATAGCAAACAAACTGCTTTCTTTGCTTAATGGTGCATCTCTTGCATTTCCATGATGTGGACAGTCTTCAGCCTGGGTCTTGTCATCTCCCTTTTTGTACTCAAAAGTAAGTCAACTCCCTTTTCTTTCCTCCCTTAGTTCTTTTTCATTTCCTACTTCAGGCATGGCTGAGCCTCTTTGCTGTTCTGGGCTTTCTCTCCTGGCTTTGTTTGGTTTGAGATTAGTTTGTGGATGTGGTTAGCAGCTCAGAATATCACCTCTGCTGTGAATTATAAACATCAGCATCTATGTCAACAATAGCAAGTGTGCCTTCTGCTCTGCAAGTTGCAAGTATGGTATTTGAAAGGGATTTCAAATTCATGCTTGTCTTTGAAACAACCGTGTAGTTGGAACCAAGGAAAGAAAGAGGTTTGTGTTACGGTTGTAATGTTTAAGCAAAAGCAAAACTTAAAGTGCAGTGTGCCTTCCAGCTGAACTCATACTTTAGGAGGAAATGAAATCTGGATCATAGTTATATTTATTTGTGTTTAAAATGTCCTATTTTATGGTACTGTGGACCAAAGATCATGAAGGAGGGAGGAAAAACATGATGCTCCAACTTGTTACAGTGGCCTCTGCTCTAAAGATGTTACAGGAAGGTGTGGATGGTTATTTGAATTGTAACAACTAAGTAATATATGGTTAATTTTATTTTAATATTTAAAATCAGTATCTAGACCACTTATCAAAAAGAAATATTAATAGAATTTGCAATTCTTTATATTTTTTTAAACCTTTTTGCAACTTTTTCCATATTATGCATACAAAATTAGGAAGACTGTATAGCTTATAATTTAAAATACATTCTGCAAACTGTAAACCCTACTGTTAAAAGTGGTCTTTTTCTCCTTAATGCCAGGTGAAGCACTGCAGTGTTACACCTGTGTAGGTTCTAGTGATGAAGAGTGTAACAGACAAGGAACTCAGCAATGTCCAGGGCATTCAGATGCGTGCGCGGTCATTAGAGGACAAGCAAGTAAGTCGGTTCAGACTCATTACATATTTCATAGTAGAAATAAGCAATCAAGTGTTGGAAAGGGAAGAGTTTATAGTAATCTAAGGAGAAAAAACACAGAGAAATGTTTCTCTTAACTAAACAACCTGCTCTAGCGGAATGTGTCCCTGCCGGTATCAGGGAACTGGAACTGAATGAGCTTTAAGGTCCCTTCCAACTCAAACCATTCTAGGATTCTATGAAACCCTATTAATAAATCTCAATCCATAATTTTATTGGTTTAGCAGAAATCTGATACAAAATCCCACCGAGTATGATGTGCCACGATGAGCTGTAGCCACACTACGTGAAAGCTGTAAAAAAGCAGTTTAAGTATTACTCACTTCTTACTTAAATCTGTTGTTTATAAGGACTTTATAAGTTAAAGGACTTGCCTGGAAATCAGGAAGGAAAAGAAACTAATGAGGCACTGCACTTGAGCACATTCAAGTATATTTAAGCTGCAGCAGTTGCATCTAAGATAACTTACAGTTATTTAACTTAAGTGGGAGCTGGTTAGTGTGCTGTAAACTGATGCAACGGTATTAATTTACTTCTAAGGAATGGCCAAACCTAATATTGTTGCTCGGTGTTGGATGATCAGGTTCCTGCTGAGGGGGTGCAGAGAGTGGGTGATCGTGACCATGAAGGTCCTTTTGGTTCACTGTGTCTCTGTTCTAGGTGGCATTATGAAGTCCTGTTCGTTCAGATCCTTCTGCGAACGGGCAAAGAGGGATGGATCCAAAGCACCTGGAGTGAGCGTTCAGTGCTGCTACTCGAACAACTGCAATGCAAGGAGCCTGGCTTCAAGGGTCACCACCTCCATGGGCTACTTCCCTCTCCTCATCTTCACATTGCTGTGGCACCCATTGTTGAAGCTGACATGAGGTGGGGGGAAAGAGTATCCTGAAGCAACAAGTCTGCCTTCTTAGAAAGGAATGATTATATTTCCGAATTGCTTACTCCATGTATTCCATGTTACTCCATGTCCGTTTCTCAGTAGGCAAAAAGCAGTAGGCAGACCTGACAGATGTCCAGATAAAAGTTGCTCCATCTGCTAAATGTCTTCTATATGTAAGAAACACTGCCCTCTTCTTGTTGAAAGTAAGGGGTTGATTCTGTGAATATCTCACATTTTCCTACTCTTTAGGGAAGGAGAAATCTTAGCTGCAAGTAGCCTTGTAGTAGGGCAAAAATCTTCCAAATGCTGTTTACTGTTGGCAGACATTCAAAACAAGCTAAAATCTTCCAGCACAAAGTGCATCACTAGCTAGTAGGCAGGTGGTCCTCTGAAGTAATGTTGAAAAGGCAAAACTAGAAGTGACATGCCACACAATGTGATAGCACTTAGCAGGGGCTTGGCTCTGTGATGCTGGAGAGCAGAGTGGTACCTCCTTTCATTCAAAACTCAGGGGGACAGACAAGCAGATGAATGAAATTTGTAGATTTTAATGTCAAAAAGTAATGATCTGGTCTTACCTCTGACACCAAACATGCACAGGACTGGCTAAAGTCCAGCCAGTGTAATTGAAGTAGAGGTGGTCTTTCGAGTTCTAGTTTTAGGTGTCCATTTGGGGAAATATTTAGTTGTCAAGTTTAAGGAACTCTCAAAATCCGTGGCTAAGTAGGGTTTTTTCCTAGTTTTTGTGTTGTGACTTTTTTGGGGGTACAATTCTTTGAAAATTCAGTGTGTCATAGAATCCTGCGCGTTCACAGAGGTGTTATGAAGGCTGCAAACTCTAGAGAACTTCTTCAGGTGAAATCGGTGAAACCTCCTCGTAGAGCGTAACTCCAGCCTGCCTTAGCTGTTGCCTGTCACCTGGACCAAACTGTCCTTGCTTCACTGTACTTGTTCCTCTTCGGGGAACCTTCCAACATCCCACGTAGATCGTGGCTTCAGACTGGGACTGTTATTCTGGGGGTTTGTTCGGTGGGCTCTCAGACGAGGCAGTTCTGCTCTCTCTGTAGCACTTAGGCACAAGTCTGATAAATCTGTTGAATACAAAAATTGCAATAATGCAGCAGATCTTGGCTCAGAATGTTAATTTAGGCTTAAGTATCTGCGTAAAACCCACTTAAGTTGATTTGAGTGTTTTTCATTTCATCTCGGCTTGAACCAGTTCCTTCAATCTGTTCTGCTGCAGGATTATGTCTTTATTTTCGGACTGCTCTGTAACGATAAACCCATATTGAATGTCATCCCTGTATATGCTCAGTGCCCTTCCTTAAGGAGAAAATAAAATACATGCAACGGCTGACAATGTCTCTTGATAGACAAAACTGCATCTTCTATTTGGGGTTTCCCACTGCATCCCATTTTCCAGCGGGAATTCCAGCTTCTTTTTCTGTGGGATGTATTTCTTAAATCTGTTTGATAAACTAGTGAACATTGATGGTTTTCTTACTGTGATATTTCCCTGATGAAACACGAAGGTGAGGCTCTATCCTCTTGACAAACACCATCTGTCGCTCCTGACTGCAGCCAGGACTCGGATCTTCAGCCTCCCACTGCCTCGGGTTGATTCTGCCACCCAGCATAATGTAATGTTTGCCTTCACAGGGCTGACATTCTTCCTGCCTAATGATGAACTTGACATGTGCATGTATAGACCTAGAAATAATAAACTGTACTTATGGATGGATGATATCAGAGGGCTTCCACAATGGTTCTTGGCATAAACGCTAACAGGAAGAGAAGCTCAGAAGAAAATGGGATAAAAAAGAAGGAATATTTTTTAAATTCTACTATTAATATGAAGTTTCCATTGCCATGTCTGTGCAGAGCGATTCCCAGTCATATGTGAAGTAGAAAGTGGTTGCATTTAGTTTGATTGTTCTGAAATCTAATTATTCCTGCAGCAGTGGCACAGTCTGTCTTCCTTAATACAAACAGACAGTTGGGACAAAAGGAGCAGAAACCGATAATGAAATGCCTTCTGCTGTAACAGAAAATGACAGGACTTCTTTATCATGAGTCGAATCACTGTAGTGCATCGGTTGGGTAAGTACTGGGTTTGAGTTTAACGTTACTCTCTCGCCTTTGGGAAAGGATCTGCAAAGCAAGAGATTTGTAATTTCTGATTTATAAGCAAGAGAATCATCACAGAATCCCAGACTGGTTTGTGTTGGAAGGGACCTTAAAGCTCATCCAGCTCCAACCCCTGCCACGGGCAGGGACACCTTCCACTAGAGCAGCTTGCTCCAAGCCCCTGTGTCCAACCTGGCCTTGAACACTGCCAGGGATGGGGCAGCCACAGCTTCTCTGGGCACCCTGTGCCAGGGCCTCAGCACCCTCACAGGGAAGAGCTTCTGCCTAAGAGCCCATCTCAGTCTCCCCTCTCAGTTTAAAGCTGCTCCCCCTTATCTCTGTTATAACTTGTAGGACATACAGGCAGCCCCCAATCATATTTTCCATGGTTTCTCATTATATCCTCTTGGTTTTGGCAGTGCAGACAGCATTCCCTTACTCTCCTAGTCTTCTCAGAGACAGTAATAGCCTGTGGGACCTACCAGGAGGGCAGATCTGACAAAGCGCCCCTGCTCTTTCTCACGCAAGTGTATCATGTAATTTGTGTCAGTATTCATCCAGGCCTGCCTTTCCCACAGGGAGAGCAAAGTTTCAAGTTGTTTCTTGTTCTTGTTAAGGAATAAGCAATTCTGGAAGCTTATGAGCTTTAAAATCTACATTGGAGAAGATTTACCTCAATGCTGGCTGTGCTGTTTGGTGAAAGAAGTGTTATATTTTGGGTTCACAGACCACAGTTTCTTTTTAACCTTTCTTTTCACGTGAAGATATAGTCGTGTGGCTCTGTTCTGCAGGGATTAAACCAAAGAACACCCTTGTACCTCGTGCCCTCATGTCTTAGTCAAAGCCCAGCCATGACAGGTTTCACTGTCAGCATTACCCCAAAGGCTCTCACCCTTTCTGGACCCTATAGATGTATAGGATGTTGCCTGGGGCTGTTGGCTGTGGCTGGTGACTGCCCTTGGAGGTAGTTTTATGCTTTTGAAATCAGAAGTCCTGACTGCCGTTCATGGTGCTTGAGGTTATCACCCACATATAAACATATTCATCATCAGGAGCCAGCAGCACGCAGGGCATTTTTAATTGGTGACTTTACGATGTGCTTCCATGTAGGATATTTACTCACAACAGAGTGAAAGCAATGATAACCGTTAATACAAGTAGCAGTGTGTATGAAGAGCTTAGCTAGAACTTCATCATGCTGGGGGAGCAGGTACAAGTAAACTTCATCAGCATCCGAACAAAGCAAGGGAAAAGCCACTCAGGGATCCAGCTCGGCACGAACCACAGGAGCAGCCTGTGGTGCTTGGCACAGGGCTTTATGGAAAGTAGGTCTTGTTAAAAACATCTCATTTGAGGTTGTGGATTTTTGCTGAGGAAGGCAAATACACAGATTTTGCAACACATCTCAGACAGAACTGCAGTCGTGATACACAGGCTGAGAGTTCAGGGGCTGGAAGAGCTAAAAATTGCAGCCTGCAAAACCAAGTTCTTGGACACAGTTGGTCTCACATCATCTCTCTGACAACCTCAGGGTGTTATCAGAAGTGTCACAAAAAGAAGGGGCTGTCAAAGTGCTGGCATGTCTGCATCAAGATAGTCCCATGCGTTGCCATAGGGACAGGTTTCCATGGGAGACTCATAATTCACTTTTCTGGAGCAAAAGTAAAGCACAGGAATGAGAGTGGGAGGATGGGGCTGAGCATTTCCATAAAATCACAGAATCCCAGACTGGTTTGGGTTGGAAAGGACCTTAAAGCTCATCCAGTTCCAACCCCTGCCACGGGCAGGGACACCTTCCACTAGAGCAGCTTGCTCCAAGCCCCTGTGTCCAACCTGGCCTTGAACACTGCCAGGGATGGGGCAGCCACAGCTTCTCTGGGCAGCTCTGCTCCATAGTTAGCACTGTGAAGGAGCTCTCTATTGCTGAAATTGCTTGCACCTCTTCTTGCAACCTTACCTAGCCCAGCAGGCACCATTTCATTCAAAAACCTACCCTGCTAGCTGCTAGCTCAGAAGACTCATAAGCATGAGATGATGTTTAAAGGTGAAGGGGAATTTCTCACTTGAAGTCATTTCCCTTTTCTGAAGACTTCCTGCCCTTTATCCTCACCTAAATGGTTTCCATTTTTTGCTTAAAACACTCAAGGGAGGGAGGCGTTTGAACACTGGCAGAGACTTGGCCAAAGATCAAGTGCTCAAATGCAGTCGCTGATTCCCATTGCTTTCATTTGACGCGTCTGTCATCTTATTTTAGGCAATGCCACTCACCCTCAGTTTCTGACTTTCAGTGCAAACAGGTCCATGTCTACAGAATTGGCTTTGAGATTTGTTCTTTTGACCCTGAGGATGTTCACCTCCCTTTAGCAGCTTGGTTTTAACCCCTTTTGCAGGTCTTCATCAAACAAAAAGGTCTCCAAAAGCGTGTATTTATGAGTTTCAAGTTCTCACATATGTGTCTCTGAAATGACATTTCTAATTGCACAATAATCTCTAAATTGCCTCTCTATGATGATTACTAGTTTCAGCCTTTATCAGCAAGGCATATTTTACTTTATGCTGAGCAGATGAAGACTTAATGGCTAATGCCTGTGTCAGTAGAAGAGCTCCCACCCCACCTCCAGACGTTCCAGAAGCTCTGTTTAAAGCAGGATGCATTTAGATCACAGTCAGCTGTGAGAGCTGAGCCTCGCTGGGGCTGCAGGGGCAAGGTTAAGACACCCTGATAAAGCAACACGCTGTCATAGAAGAGCAATGAGCACCTTTGCAGTATGAAATGGCCTTGGTGCTTCGAGTGATCTCATCTCTAATTCACTGCATCTGTGAAAGCTGCCACCACCAGCTGTACATATGCAGGTAAGAGCAGCTAGTGACAACCTCTGCTTTAATCTCTCCCCTCATTTAGTCCTTCTAAGGGTTAAGCTTTACTTTTGAGAGCTGTCTTTCTGGACACTTCTTAACGCTGCTTATGAGGATTTGGCAGTCTCCATCCCTGAGGTTTCCACATTCTCCCAGCCAGCTATGACTCCTCGTATTGGATAAACATGTCTGGTTCTGTTACATATTCAGCTTCATTGAATATGACTTTGGAAAGAGCACACCAGTTAGCAGGATGAAGCAAATCCCTGAGTGGGGCAGTTAACTGAGCCAGGAAAAATGCACATTGGGAAGTCATCTGAGCAGGGCTGTGCCCATGGGGCACTGGCAGAGGGTTTATTAGCATTCCTGTCATCCAGTATAAGAGAAGCTCATGGGAAGGAGAGCTCTACCAGGCTGCTTCGTATTTGAGCAGCAGATGAAACCCAATGGTTTGTCCCATTGGTCTGGTTATAGCTCTCCCCCAGGTTTAGGACAGGGAGGAGCTTCTGCTAAAGAATCTTCCCGATGCAGCTCTACATTTAGTAGATCTTCCTTTGAATCCCTGCACGGCCACAGGGTCAAAACCCAAGATGGGTATGTGTGTGAAAAATATCCATGTGTGTTCCGGGTGCAGAGCTCTTGAGATGAGGGTGGTTTTGCAGTCAAAGCAGTTTTCTCCAATTGCTGGCGATTTCAGCTGTGATACTTTAGGTGCCGTGCAAGCCAAGAAGGCTTTTAGAGCTGGCCTCGATGAGGCTCTTCTGGGGATGGTGACAGGTAGGGGATGGAAAGCAAACTTTGGTTTGACACCTCCTGTTAACACTGGAGAGAAGCAGTCCCTGAAAAAGCTATTTTCTGTCCCCTCAAAAGTCAGGGTCTCTTGTGGAAACTGGAAATGATCTCTTGCTCATGAAGGATCAGCAGTGCAGTGATCTCATCTGACCTTCACTTTAACACGGCTTATCCAAAGCTTTTTATGCTTATCCAAACCTTGGCTCCAGACTGCACAACAAACCCGAGCTATCTGGGGCAAATCCTCGCTTTCAGCTTGGAGGATGAAGAGAGGATTATGAGCCCATGGACAGGCTGTCTTGAGCCAGCAAATGGAACAGTCCTCCCCAACCCGGAGCTGGTTTCTAAGTCATGGGGTGCTCGAGGATCTTTCTGTGCCCAGACTCAGAGCCCAGTTTACTAGGAGACAGATGGCCTGCAGGCTGCTCTGCTCTCCAGCAATGCAGAGTCAGCCACAGAGCTTAAAATAGCTCTTAAAATAGTTCTCTCTTTTTTTCCCTTAAACAGTTTTGCTCTAGTTTTGCCCAGCAACTACAGAAGCGTTTTCATTCATGCTGTTTTCATAACTGGGAAACTGAGGTCAAGGTGGCCAC